CTTAAGAGCAGAGATTTGATTGGAAAATGATCTGATCCTACTAATTCTAATGTACCCTCGTCGGCAGGCCATTGCACGCAAAGATGGAGTGGACCACCTTGCGCGTGTTCAAGTATGAAAGCGAGTTGGTCCTTTGTCTTGCACCGAAACCACTCCTAATACCGGTTAAATTTCTAATCACCAGAAGCAAAGATAACATACATCCTCGTATTGATATTCTGGTCCGGACTCGCCGTCAGCCCCAAGCAACATGATCCACCTCCAAATTGAAGCCATACCAGCAATAACCTGGCGGATACGACAGCAGATTTGCATTATAGTTGTAATGGAATTGGTCTGCGAAAGGTATATGGTAACAATCTGGGATAGCAGTTCTGTTGGGGGGCGTTCTAAAGGGGAAGCGCGGACAGCAACCGTTGACTTCTTTCGTTGATTATTGTGCTTTACCATCCTAGAGTCTTGCTTCTTGTGATAAGATGTACTAGTCTCGCTTCGTGTTGGTGGTATTGAAATTCTTGAAACAGGGTGGCTGAGTGAAAAGCGATTCAAATTCACAGATATTGACGTTTTAACTGATGTACCAGATATGATGAAGCAGTTTTACGAGAGGGAGAGGAGCAGAAAGATGGTAGGGGTCAAGAATGTCGTCACAAAAAGTCGAGAGGAAAGCACGTGTCGAAGGTGGGGATGCCTTTTAGAACTGAACTACTCCTAGTCGCAATGCCCCTAAACCTCCCTAAACTCTGCCTTATTTGAAATCCATAGTTAATAGAGCTATTATAGGAACTTCAAAAATGACGGAATCTCTGAACGTACTTTCTACAGTTGAGCTGGATACCACCAGCCCTTTGGATTGACTGCCGAGTCCTTGATGGTATAGTTCTCTCGTCGCGGGTTATCTTTATCTATGAAATCTGGCCTGGATCTTCTGCGACACCTAGAAATTGGATAGGAAGATTCCATAACTGTGCTGGATATGCACATTCGGCAAATGGTTTCCTTATTAAACTCGTATAAAATCTCATACCAAATAGAATTTTCGACTTTTATACATAAATATTATCGAAGGGTACCACTGGTGCTAAGAAACAGAGTCATCTATCCAGATTCGGCGGAGAGCGTTCATTAGTTCCTTATCCTCTCGAATATACTTGACTCTGTCTTTGAGTGGGAGACCTGGAGCTCCTTCTTCGATCTTTCCTAATACATCTTCCAGAGCCCCATAACTCTTGATGCATCCTATAGACTGAAGCGTGTTTCGAATGAAGGCTTCGGTCGGTGTCCGCGTGACGTTATGCTTGTGATAGGCTTCTCCATACCTCTCCAATGTCTCTAACCAATCATTCCTCCAAATTTCCACTATTCCAGTGAACCCTGGTTGAGAGCGGCTGGTAGGAAGCTAAATGAGCATGAACCACGAGCAAGTAATCACTTACATCTGTGAAATCAGGTGGTAATAGTCGATGATAATGACTCTCCCTTTGTCAATGTAGGCTATAAGACTTTCAGAGATGCAAGAAATGGCATCATTAGGAAAGTAAGGGTCCATAAGAGAGTAACTCCCATATCGAAGTCGGTTGTCCTCACGATAAATGGACGAGGGAATGACTTGCTTTCCATCAGAACAATCAAAGAAGCA